AAAAAAAAATTAAATTTTTTTTTTTTAAATCCCCCCCCCCCCCCCAAATTAAAAAAAAATTGCCTGACGGTGTGGACCGCGTCTTGCTACGTTTCTACACACGTTTTTTCCGTTATATTTTAATGATATGCTATTATACAGTGTTTCAGAGGATTTTATCTGAGGGGGCATTTCAGGTTTGTGTGAGAAAAGGTTGGGGGGAGGTGGTGAACCTATGAACGCCAATAGTAGGCATAATGGCTCCTAGACCCAGGACAGCCCCGTCGTACATAAACTGAATTAATTCTAGTTGTAGTACCCGTTGGGTTATGTTTTTGGTCCCAGCTTAGTTTCGCTCTTTATTCAATAGCGACAAAATCTAGTCAAATTAGATCAGCACAATTACAAGGAAGTAATTTTTTTTTCAGTTAAAGGAAATGTGGCGTCACTTGGGAGTGCGGATTAGAGACCGATCGAATTTCGGCTTCGGTTTCGGCGTCGAAAGTGGCCATTTGATCACTTTCGGCCTATTTTCGGTTTCGGCCGAAATAAAAAAGTTAAATTTTGGTTTAATTTTGGCTTCGACCGAAAGTGATTGGGACTTTCTGCCATCTGGCCGAAAGTGACTGGGGTTTTCGGTCATCTACCAGAGATTAGATTTTCTGTCCCTGCCTTGGCTGGCAATCCGATATTATTCATTATTGCTCGACGTCTAGCTGGCATCGTGTGTTATATGACTAATTCTCTGCGAAAACTGCTCACAGCTGCATGATGACCGGCTTGTCCTTTAATTCCAAAAAAATAAATTTTAATTAGGCCTATGCAAATGAATACAGTTTTGTGGAAGAAAACTAGTGGAATGGTAATATTTTATATCATTATTATTATTTATTTTTCAAAAATAAAATTTGGAATCCTAGGTTTATTCAATTCCTTTATTTGTGATATTCATTTTGATTTATCACAATCAAGCTCATCAATTTTGTCGTATTCAAAGGTAAATAATAATGCATATTCCTAGGGAAGGGTAATATACCTCCTATTCTCTTTTTTTATTTTTTTTTTAATTAAGGAAACCTAGGCTTTTTCAATTCATTCATTTCTTGAAATTCATCATTCTCATGCTCATAAACATTGCATTAATTTTTTCCCCCTCCTCCCGTCCTAATTTTCTCTTATCATATTACTTTTTTTAAAAAAACATTATAAGAATTTTAAATTACTTTTAAATTAAAATGGTAAAATCCAAAGTATTGTAAGGGAACCTTGCTTACTCTCTGACAAACTTCATCTAGATCTGGTACTCAATAAGGAAACAACTCCGGTGATACATTTGATGAGTAAACTCGTGTTCTTTATTGGCTCTGTCACTTGCTTACACTTTCATTCATCTCACAGCTCTGACTTCTCCCTGCTATCTAGTTCTCAGTCCGGCCGCTTTCCCTTTTCTAACCATCCGGCCGCGCTCCCTCATACCATCCAGAGATCCCTATTTATAGGTCCCTGGGTCTGTACTTGCGCCGCCCCTTTCTCAATTTCCGCCATGGTCTAGACGTCCCAGGTAAATGCCCTGGTCAGATGGATGGTCGTGTCTGGGTGTCAGACGGATTACGTCAGGCGCCGTCGTGGTCCGAGTCCGACAAGCTTGGTCCGAACTCTCCAAGCTTGGTCCGAACTCTCCACAGTATTCATTAAAAGTTATTTATTAATATTCACGATGATCTCCTTTTTTTTAAAAAAAAAAAAAGAATGTAAATATTGATACTTTCCCCCATCATTTTTTTTTTTTGATGTAGGTAGAATGTATGAGTGACGAATTTCAAAATACCTAAATATTTCAGTTTTGGCTTCGGCTTCTGTTTCGGCCGGAACCAAAAATTTAAATTTCGGTTTAATTTTGGCTTCGGCCGAAACTGAAATGTTAACTTTCTGTTTAATTTCGATTTCAGCCGAAAGTCATTTTTAAATTTCGGCTTAGTTTCGGTTTCGGCCGAAATCAGAACATCACATTCGGTCGGTCTCTAGTGCGGATGGCACTGAGTGACATCGTCAATTGGGGGGGGGGGGTGTGAAGCTTAATGGAAAATTTAAATTTGACAGAGTTTCATTACAACTTTCAGTTAAATACATTAACAGTGTGCCACCAGATTAGGGGGCCATGTGTTTATAGAGTTGCAATTTTGTCATTTAAAAGTGATAAGGTGAAGCATGTTAATTTTGATGAAGTGATTGACATGTTGGCATCTTCGAATACCTTGAAAGTAAAGTTTTAACAGTAAAGTTTAACGTTTCAATAAAAAGTTATTGCCCCCTTTTTAAACGCTGTTCTCTTCATGTCCGTCTTTGCCTCAGAATCCCGGGTCCCTTTAGACTAAATCCCATTCGGATTTCATTTGTGGTAGTTTAATTTTGTTAAACTGAAGAAGTAAGTTTACAAACATATACTCCATTCAATTATCTTTCATTTGATACCTCATTTTGTCTTACAAACCCAACAATAATAGTTATCTTTAGTAGTTTTTTAATCCCAACCTGTCACTTCTGATACCCGGGTACGAATAGTGGCAGCCTTTTTCTTAACACTACATGGGTAAAAAGTCATTTCTTGAAATGTTTTTAATTTTTACCGATTCAATTCATGTACTTAGCATCGCCGGACCACATCGTCTTTGTTATCAATGGGAAGCTTTATCTCTCAGAATTCAGATTAATATAGCTTCCTGTCACTTATGGAAATTACCGAACACGTCAATCGACGTTGAGTCGTGGTCAAAACGGTGCTACATGATCTAATTATAGGGTCACCACATTTCTGACGCATCCACCTTGAACTTTTAATAAAGCACATATTTGGATTCGTTACAAAATGTATAGAAAATTTACATGTGGTCGGTTATTCTTTTATGAAAATCGATTGGACCGAGCAGTGTGTGCTCTGTAAATATGCAATTTTTCAATTTGGTGTCACCCCTGAGATGGTGTAACCCGGTGTGATCCGCACCACACACCCCCTAGACACGGCTACATAATTTTAATGGTTTCATCAGTCTCTTCTTCTCTTAACATAGTCAAGTATTTATTTTTTTTATGGTTATTGACTTAAAGTCCTGCTTGTAGTGATCAGTGTTTCTTTCTGCCATTTGCCAGAGGCGTAGCTAAGGGATGACAGATGGGCATATGTCCCGAGGGTTTGATGGTATTTAATGGGTGAAAATAATCAGAGTTTGGAGGGGGACATAAAAATTAGTCTTCTCCCCTGACGCCCAACACTGTAGATAC